AGGAATGCCAATTTCCCACAATGTGGGTCCATCTCTTGGAGGCTCATACACAAGATTGCCAATTTCAATATAACAACCTGAATTACAAGTTAGAGAAATCAAAAGTCTGCATGTCACAAAAGCCGTGAATTATTTGAAGGATAAACCAGTTTTGAAAATTTCACATAAGTTCAAGGAAATGATACCTGGGCTTATGGTAACAAGAGCATTGTATCGGTAATCTCCAATAAAACCAGGGACCCATGCATAAAGGTTATAGTCACCAGTGCGTACATTTTTTATGGAAAAATAACCATTCTCATCCGCTCTAGCCCAGAATTGATAGTCCTATGTAGTCATGTAACTTATCAATTCATTTTGTTTTAACTATGCAGGTAACTCAATTATATTAATCTAGAACATCCATATTCTTCAGAAGGATAGAAAAAACTCTAAAATGTTGATCATTTAAATTTTAAAGAACGCAAGAGTATTGCATCATACTACTTAGTGACACTAAACATCATCTCAAATTATAACATTAGAGCACTGCCCTACTATTCAGAATAGAGGGTGATCTACATTTTACAATAAGGAAAAAGAAGATCAAGTTATAGGCACTCCGAAATGGTAATTAAATGGGGCTGTAAGCAAAAGTCACCTTGCATTCTCTTTGCCACGATCCTGCTTCTCCTGGAGGCGCCAAACCAACATAGGCATCTTTTGCTGATAAACAGTCTTCACTTATAGACCTACATATTGCGATTATAGAGCAGGGCTATAATTTAAAACTGCCAGAAAACAAAAAATAAAACGTGATATAATGAGGTTTTTAGACTCGTATTTCCCTACCTGTCCAAAACAAGTAATTGGCCACTGAAATTACCCCGTTGATCCGATTTCTGGAAATCCTCAGAAGCTGGGAAACTATATGGCCAGCTTTGAACTTCTGTCATCATCTGGATAGTAATTTACATGAGCAACCTTTTCACAGATGGATCTCTGCCATTAATATTTATTTTATAGTAAAACATAATATTATACTATCCCTCTATGCACCTGTATCTTAGCATCCTCCCACAGCGAAAATGGGTCATCTCCTATGGGAGCAGAATTAAGATAGATAAAAACAGGACCAAAAACCTTCTTCCATGGTTCACCTTCTCTAAATTTTGGCACCAGATCTTGACCCGCATAATGAGCGCTAAGAAACATCTGAGGATACCAGTAGAAAAAACCAACAAAACTAGAATGAGTCATATGGTCAACAGCAAATGCTTATGGTGAATCAATGCTGTGCAAATGACCCACATAGCGAAATTTTTTTCAATAACCAATATAATTGATCAGTAACTTACAGCAAGGGTGGTGGGTCCCACATGGGAAGTCAAATTCTGTTTGTGTGGTCCTCCAGATCGGAACTCATCACTAGGAGTGATCTGCCAGAATCCTATGGGCGGGTTGGTGCATATCCACCCATGGACCCGATTGTCTTTGTTTTCACATGAGTACTGGTACTTGTCATCCACCTGCAGGTCAAGAAATAGTTCATACACAAAAAACTTCGCGCAAAACTTTATTCTATTAAAAAGGAAGCAACTCGATCTCCACAGACGTCAAGGCAATAAAAAATAAGCAGCTGTTCAGCACCATATACCACAATGCTATGTTAATCCAGGAATGGTCGAGATACATTGACTAGCATTCCATACAATGATAAGTTCTAAATATATATATTTTTTCCCAAGAAAAAGTACCTCTCCTTGGTGCTCAGGTATCTTGGGATTGCCAAGTAGGACAGCTTCTGGGTAAGCTAAAGTTTGGCATCGTCCTGATAACCGATCATCAGGCAGGGGCATGTATCTTTGTCTATTGTCCGCCACTGCCATGTACTGAAACCTAACCACTCAAAACATTTAGGAATCAATTAACTTTTGTGTTAAAATTACTAAAAAGTCAACACCACATCTGTTTTATTCTTAATATATCATGGTGTAGAACAATATATCAAATAGTACTCCCGGTTGCTTTTAAAATACGTTTTCATTTGTATTGGAGGCAAAAAAAATAAAAATAAAAAAAAACCTCCAAATTGTATTTGGTAGCTATTAATTATTAAGGTAACTGTTGTATAAAACCAATCATCAAGTCTTACAGGTAAAAAAGAAAAATAAATAGCAGATGTATACTTGTCTTTTCTCAGCTTGAAAGTGATCCTGGTTTCACCAATGTCAAAGTCAGGCCAATCCTTCAAGTGCTCATATATGGCGTAGGAGTAGAAGCCCGACGAACCACGGAGCACTATAAACCTGGAGAGAACAGATAAGCATATATATACTTGTTATTAACATTCCCAAAAATAAAACTCAAATAGAGTGTTTATCCTAGTCGTCGGAGTTATATTTTATGAGCAATAACCTTTTGTCTATATTTAAAGGAACGAACTTCCCTTCAAGTGAGTGATCCCACATTCTTGTAAACGAGAGCTCAACTTGTTCTTCAGTATGCAAAATGACCCTAAAATCAGTACCTTTAATCCTGCATAAGGATTAAGGAACAACTCATCATTCACCAAATAGCACAAGGAAAAATAATAATAATAGGACATTAGCCAAAACTAGCCCTAATTTTTCTCCAAGTAATCATTACTTAATCAATGGGATATTAGTCGAGAAAATTTCCAGAGTTGCTTTACGTTATTAGAAAACGACAAAAAGCGAGGAGGTGCATACACATCAAATATTCCTTTACTTCCTGGTGCACTCCAAACAAGATCCCAGTACCTACGTATTCATTCAAAAACAGTCATTTCTGATTGCAAATGACAAAAAAAGTAATAGCACAGAAAAATGTTATCCATTGTTTTCCATAAGAAATACCACAAATCAAATTTATTCTAGTTAACACAATATGCATATGAAAACAATACTTTTGGAAAGCTTTTTGCATCTCCTACAGTTGTATCCTTATAAGAATTTGACTCCCAAAAATGGAATACAAGGTAGATAGCTTAAGAAGTAAAGCAAGTACCCTCGATTAGATTCCTTATTAAGAACTTCAAGCAGATTGTCGACGCCATGGTATCGTATGCTGGTAACAATCCCATCTGGAACTGATAATGTTAGTTGAAGTAAGCCATTGTCCACCACTACCTGTGTTATTGCATTATAAGCAAGATCTTAACTTTGACATAAAAATCGAGCAACGAAAATAATGGTAAAATGGGTTCAAATTCGATTTGACATACATTCTGGTCATGAAAGTGCAACCGCACCCCCGGAGTCGACATGGCGGAACTGGAGCCTTTCTTGGCAAACTTGTCAAGCCCTAATTTCCTAGTTTTCAACGATCGAAAATCAGAGAAAAGCAAAGATTTTGGTACCCAAAAAAGAGTAACAGCAAACAATAGAAAGTCTGTAGAACTGAAATTCCCCTGAACTTGCATACGCATTTATGGTATTAACAATGTAGAAATCCTAGTTTTTGTCAAATAATTAAATTTATACATCAAGAATTATCATATGGTCAATTCAATGGAGAGAAAAATGTGGACATAAATTTGAAAAACACGATCGAACAATATGCCAATTGAATTACATAGATAAATGACCTAAAGCGATTTCTTTTTTTTCCTTTTGAACGTGATTAATGATTTTGGGTTTGAGAATTATTTAAATCTAATTGTTGATGAGAGAGAGAGAGAGGAATAGAAATACCGGAGAGATTTCTTAAGAGAGTGCATTAAATTCAATCGGTCTTCGGAAAGGCGGTGGCGCGAAAACTCAGAGACCGAAAATGATCGGAATATTTATGCGAATTGCAAAAGCCAGCAAAGCGAAGGTTTTTATTTTTTATTTTTAAGTATTTAAACAGAACAGACAACTGAGATGAGAACTTGTGATTCGTTGTTGTGTTTGTTCTCGGGAATTGGGAATAAGTTGCTAACAGTTTTTCACATATTCCCACGCACGCCACGTCAACCAGTTCCAAATTGCGCGAAATCTTTTTATTTTTATCTTTTATTGAAGAAAAGTAGATTTCTCTAGTTTTTTTGAAGGGACGTATAAAAAAAAATTATTAATAATATTTTATTTTTAATTTTATCCGTGAGATTTATATTAAAAATTATTTATTTTATATATTTTTAATATAATATAATTTTAATCATATTTTAGAAATAGGTTTTACTAATTGGGTCTATTAATAAGGAGACTTTACCTCAGTAATTTTTTTTTCAAATGGGAAAAATTTCTCTCATTTGACATTCTTAATCATTTTATATTATAGTTTAAGATCATTAATATTATTTTTTGGGAGTGTTTTTGGTAGTCTACCTTATTGGTAGTTTAGTTTTTAACTGTTAGATCTGATTAAAATCATATCAGATTAAAAAGTATATAAAATAGACAGATTTTAATACAAATATGATGACTGTAAAATAAGAGACTATCAGTAATACATTTTTACAGGACTAAAAAAAACCCCTAAATTTTTTTTTTATAAAAGAGAAGATCACTTTATTCATGCTTTTTTCCCCCCTTTCGTATTGGCTATAATGTCTTTATTATTTAAGGTGCTATGTTATCACCGTTGAAAATTAATCACTGAGAGATCATCAATTATCCGCCGATCCTAGTCGTTAGAATTATTAAAGCGACTACAGACATTTTTTGGTGCCTTCTCAAATAATTATTATTTCTATACACTATTGCAAATTTACAAATTGTGAAAACGACCAACAACCGACGAATGGTTGCCCTGCTAAATGTCGGATTGCTACCAAAACGACATAGATAATCGTTGCGTTATATAAATGCATCAGATGAAAGATACCTAGGACGCAGCCTCACTTTCCATACAAAAGAGACTTCTAAAACAAATTTGTTTGTTTTATGAAAACATGAGTAAATTAAGGAATCTTTGCTTCTTTAGTTTTTTATGTCACTCTCTTTTAAAGAAAAAAAAAAAGGATAAGGAGCTCATCACTTATTGGAGAATTTTTTTTTTTGAGTAGTAATGCATTTCATGCTCCCTAACTCCTTCGGCTATAGCAAATAATCTTAAGGACCACCGAGTATGTAAAAAAGGCATGAACTAGTCTCTCACTGACTATCCAAACAGTTTAAAAAAAATGGAGAATTTACATGAGTCTGAACCTTTACCCCTAACTCTAGATAAATATCCTTTTGTTAGTGTAATTATTTGACTAAAAAAGTTATGAATCAAGAATAAAAAGTAAAAATCTTTACACATGCAATTTCAATAAATATTTGTCAAGATAATCCAACTAATTTTCACTTCCCTCTATCTTATGAGGCCCGTGGAGGCCCACTTAATTTCCCACAAAGAGCAGGACAATAACGCGGGTACGGAGTATCGAACTCTAAGATAATGGACAAAAGAGACCTAACAAAAGCGTTCTTACCACTACACCACAACCCTCTGATGTGAAGAATCTTATTTACTATTTAAAGGTACGTTTGGTCAGAGTAGCCATTAAAATAGAATGATTATAGTCTTAATTCTAATACTCAACCAATCATTAGATCATCTATTCTAATCCATTCCATTCCTATCATTATTCACATTGCAATTACATTCCACGAAACCAAACGTTACCTAAGAGCAAAGTAAAAACATGCATTGCTTGTAGCAACCAAATGGTACAGATCAAAACGTGAGACGCTAGTGAATTGATATTGAGAAAGGCTGCAAGTATATTTATGACAATCTCAATCGTGTTTAAATTCAGTTAATAGAAGTAAAACCTCAGATAATTTACGACACGGATGAATGGAAGAAGATACACATGACGAAATGTAATGTATTAATTTCCGCTGGCTGCTGCTAGTGCACTTGACTGTTCTCCGTTTTCCTCTGGAAAAAAAGAGACCCTAATAGCACAGCAATGCCCGTGATAGCGATCGTAAATATGATGCGTCGCCGTGACACGTCTTGTGGCAGCGGCTGCCGTCTTGGTCCTCTCGGAGCTTCTTGCTCTCTTTCAGCTGCCCTCACATCCCTTCAATTGAAATTCAAAATTTCATTACACGTTCGAGAGATATAAAGAAAAGATAGGGAATGATAATAGAAGTTTATCCAAATGCAACTAGTCTAACAAACTGGAATAGCTGTTAAACAAAGCAAAGTTGTTTAACTAACTACCTAGTCCCTGTGTAAAGAGAGAGAATTGTCGACTACAGAATCAAAGACAGCAGTTATGCGTCAAAACAAACCCAAACATTGAAATTCCCAAATAACTTAGAATAGATTCGCCAAGAGTACATGAAACAGCAGTAAACATATCCAATTACAAACAGAGAACTTCAATTGTTTCAAGTTTTTCACAAGCATCTATTCGGTATAAACAACTAAAATCACTCAATGAAAAGCAAAATTGGAAAAGAAAATGACAGGTAAAACTTGTAATTAGATTGCACCCATGAAAGCAAATCTACCTGGAAGTTCCCACAATGTTGTCTAAGACAGCACTGCATCTAGTTTCATGGTTGTATCTTTCTCGGAGTCTGATATATCTGTTGCAAAGAGAACAGAGTTCTGTCCTGTTCCCACATACTTCCTGTAATGTAAAGCACAGATTTCACACTCAGCTGCTGAGGAAGAAAAAATGCGAGAAGTTAGCTTACACACTTCAGAAAAAACTGAAAGTTGTTACCTGGTGCTCGGCAAGATCAATTGCAGGCAATGGGAACTCACAGAAGTCACACGTCACAATCCTTTGCGGGCAGTTTTCACCTTTATGGATGGCTAATATTTCACGTTCCATTGTCTCACTGCATAGTGAACAGGCAACCTGCTTCGAGAGACATGCCAGAGCAGAACAATTATACAAAGACACATCATATGTCCGGACTCAACTCAAGGTAATCTTAACCAAACAAACTTGGTTTGACTAATTGATGGGCTGTTTTAATTTCCACCATCTTTTTAGTAAGAAAATCCTAATATCCTCCATTTAAAAGCTCATATAGAAACTCATAATACGGTCTTGGCAACAGCATATGGAAATGGTCTGTAACAAGTCCTTGTATATATAATAAGACCAGTTAACTAACAGCCAACTGCCAAGACATAAGTTGATTATACTCGGAACATAAGAGGTTGATGCTGAGTTCATGGAGCATGCTACATATTCTTGGCAATATCAAAACCAGTTTGAAGCTACCTTACATAGTATATCTCAACACAATCATAATGGCTATTTAACAAAACAACTTGGCTTGCCAAAGGTTTTAGCATGTGCTAAGACCAACTAGTGCCATTCTCACTCACGTTGCTCCTATTCCACATACACCACACATGTGAGAATATGAACCACCTGTCCCCTACATGTGCACTTTAGTTTGAAGTGTTACATCCCCAAAACACCGCACTACTACATTCATCAATTACTTTTAGTCTTAGAAGACTCCCATCAGTAAATGTATGTTGCAAGTAAAATGATAAACTATCACAAATACAATTTAACAGATAAACAAAATTATACCGCCCACCACATTCCTACTCATTATACGTTAATATCAAGTAATCAAAAGAAGCCTTAGAAAAAAATAAGTTGCACAAAAGAATAATTAGAAACCCAAAAGTCTTTTTATATATGAAATTAAAAACAGGGAAATCGAATCTCAATTTAGTTCCATTAGGCAGATTAAGTGCCTCAAAACTGGAACCAACCGACGTACTGGGGCATGAGTGTTTAAGTAGTGCTCCTCAGCATGCTTTTTTGGAACCATATCACCACAGACTTTACATCTTTCTAGATTGCGGGAGCAATGAGCAAAATGCAAATCAATATTCCGAGAAGGGATAGCCCGGTCACTGGAAACATAAGAAAGTGTTAGTCCTCGGCACATGACTTGTGTCGGAGCAGCATATCGGACTATCTAAAAGTCTAAGACATGTATTCAAGACTGTAAATGATGATGAACCTAAGAAACTAAATATGAATTAAATCAGAGAGGAAAATCTTGAAAGAGAGAACAATCAATAGAACACCGTTTAGGGATTATAAATCATCAGAATGGATACATAAACATCCGGCACATTAAAAGAGCTCAATATATACCAGGAACGAAAAAGATGTTTGATCCACTTATCTATAACACACCACAACAATTTGTTCCAAGAAAATAACTTGGGGAAAAAATTTGACCAAACAGAATACTTAAATGGACCATAAATATGAGATGAAGCGAAGAGGCAAGGGAACAAACAACAGGATAGAAAAAATTATTGGACTGTCATGAGCGATATCCAAATATCAAGTACGAATCAACAGTTTGATAATTGCAGCCGATTGTACATCACCAAACATTTGCACATCTGATACATCAAAAGTTTCAGCCAATTTTAAACGAACCATGAATCAAAAGGCAGGTTAATTCACAAAATCAGGTTTCCCTCCAGCCATAACACAACTGTACTCTCCAAGGACATGCATTTTCGCTAAGTCTACACCTCGATACTCGATATAACAACAGAAGACAGGCACATAATTTCACAAGAGAAAAAGATTTAAAACAAAAAAAAAAAAATCAATTATAAAGACAGCACTAAAATAAATCTGACAACCTACTACAAATACACGCATAATTGACACAATGAAGAAGAATTGAACTCACGAAACCTTAAAGAACACCATGGTCTTAAACATAGCTATACAATTAACAAAGACAAAACCCACAAAAAAAATAATAATAATAAAAAATTTGTAACTTTATGAAGACTTTGAGTCAATTTAGTCTGTAAGTCTGGAAATTGAGTTTCCTTAGCTTCCAAAACAATAGTTCACACACAATACATTCATCCACCAGAATTAACATAACGATCATCAACTGTAAACCCATAGAAACAACCGAAACTGCAAAATTTGAAGAGGGATTTCGCCATGTATTTACCAGTGACTGCAAATGCTTTTAGCTTCATCCGATGCGAGAGCCATGGAGAGAGAGAGAGAAAACAAGACGACGATCCAAACCTTAAATTACACAAACAAAAGAAACCAAATTTGACAAAAAAGGAAATTAGGGCAACGAAATCGAACAAGACATTAACAAAAAGTAGAGCTAAGAATTGTGAAAGACTGAAAAATTTAGATTTTACCGAAAGCTATAAAAAGGGATTATGGATTATCAGAGAGCCCTTGATTGATTCGTCGTTGTTTCAGCTTAAATAATAAATATTTTTTTCCCTTTTTTTTCCCTCTTTTTTTGTTTTTGTTTTTCTTCTGCTTTTGTTAGGATAAAAAACAAGGATTATAGAAGAAGAGGAGAAGAGTTGGATTTTGGAAGAGTTTGATTGAATTGGAATGAATGCTTTGTTTGGTCTAACCAACCTCTTTTTGATTTTTAAGAAAATAAAAAATAAAATAAAATTGGTAAGAAATTTAAAAAGTATATAAATAGAATTAGGTGAGAACTGAAAAACGAGGAAAAGACTTTTGGTTACCGAGAGTAGACACTAGTCCGGTTCACATTTATTATTCAGAACTAGACACAAGAGAAAATGTTTGTCCACGCGCTAAATAAAGTGCGTGTGATGGAAGCTCGATTTGGGCTGGCAGTTCTCACTGGGCTGGGCCATAGGTGGACATGGTCCACGGCCCATAGACCATGATTTTTATTTTTTATTTTTTATTTATAATTTTTTTAGTTAAATAATTACTTTAATAAAAAATTATTTATGAGTAAAAATTTAAACTCATACACTCTTGATAAATTTTTTATTTTTTTATTGTGGTTAGATTCACCGTAGCTTTGGCTTTTCTCTAAGGTGATGTTTGGTAGAGGGATTCATTCCCTGATTCGAATCATGATTCGTAGTTCGCTACAGTATTTTCTCTCACAAAAAATACACGTAAATCGAAAATAGTTCTAATCACATGGTTCTAATTCATGAACCAAACGGACTCTAAGCAATTCTTGGCCGAATTGTCCTTTTTTTTTTTTTTTTGTTTTTTGCTAAGAAAAAAAAGGAGTTCAGTGGTGTTCTCCCACCCCACTCAACGTCTTAAGAGAAATCTACTAAAATCATATGTAGAACAACAAGGGAATCTGATCCACGCTTTCGACTGCCAGCATCTAGGGAGCTCAAGTCACAACAGTCCGAGTCATATTCAGCAAGCCCATTGAAAGGCATAATTGTAGCCTCACTGCGAATGAGGGGAATTGATCCCTGAATGATGTGAGAGAGCGCCTTGGTAGGTCATCCTCTTGCTGTTATGCCACCACCACCGCTGGTGAATTGTCCTAGTTTATTGATGGTGATCATCACATGTTGCATAACGGAATGTAATAAATAAGTAGTGATTGCAAAATTCAACTCTTGACTATGTTATAAAGTGCAGAGTTCTAATCCCCTCCTCTTAAGACCAAAAAAAAAAGGATATTCACTTTGGGTGATTTCTGACAAAATATGTATTTGAATCGAGATTCTGGATTTTTAAAAATTAGAATTGTGATCAAAGCGCGAGAGGGTTCCACTTGCTCATTCTCAATGATGATGGCATTGTTGCATTCTTGCAACAATGGTGTCATGTCTAGCTAGGGCTTGGTCATTGTTGAGGCAGTTAAAAATAGGAGAGACGAAATAAAATAGATTGTAGAGTTTGTTGGGGTCACGATGGCTACATTTTTCTAAGATATAAGAGAGTGAGAGCGAGAGAGAGGAAAGGAGGGGAGGCGACTATGGAGAAAAAGAATGCCCTTTTTCTAAAGGGTCTCAAAAATATAAAAACAAGTTTTGATGTAGGGTTTCATTTACTTGAGGATTGAAATGATAACATTGAAATATTTATATATTAATTAAAAAAAGGATAAAAACTTAGGAAGGGTCCGTTTGTTTAGAATCACGCCCATAACTAGAAGCTGAAAACCACCACCCGGCACTTCTTCCATAGCTCACTTCCAATAATTTTCCAAAAGAATTAAAGTCCTTTATTCTTTTAGAACGTACAATCTCAATTCTCAAAGCGTGTCAAAGGAAAGAATATAGATCTAGAGTTCTATAAAGGAATAGCCAAAGATATTTGAGAAAAGTCAAAGTAAAAATATAATTAGCAGGAACATTTTAATATATTTCATGCAGAATAATAATTGACTGTGCCTCTCATAGTTATAAAAGTCCATACAATTTCATGTGCGAATGGGAGACAGATCAAGTGAGTAGGAAAATAATTTTAAAACTTATTTATTTAAGTATCGATTACAAATTTACAAATTTGTCTCAAGGAAATGGGAGACAAAAAAAGAAATCAATTATAACCAATATGCATGCAGTTAAAGAATCATATATAAATAGTTACACCTGTCGTTGTTGGATTATATATATATATATATATGCATAAGTTATTAGATTTTTCACATGATATATGTATTCACGTCCCATCTAGTGCCGCTCTCAGTCAAATTAAATTAATTAGTGATATATTTGCAATTAAACTACGGCGTGTGCATCGCTTACATTAATGTAAATTAATGTCATTTTTTTAAGAATCAGAAACTGCTATTATTAATTCAAAGCAAATACGTACACATATATATTAATGTGTATATAAATGTGTGTGTATGGAGGTATAACAACAATATACATAATGTTTCCAATTTTTTCATCTAATTTGCCTAGCGAGCATATTCCTAAAACTTACATGTACTCACATATTTAACAAAGCCTGTTCAAATAGTTATAAAAAAAAAATCCTAAAAACTCAATAGAAACTAGAAGAAATATGATAAAAAAAATGCTTAACGATACTATTAGTGTTAAACACCATCGTCATTTATGGGTTCAATAATTGCAACCAGTACCCAATATAGCATTTTCCAATATGACACCAGTAAAAGATACCAAATTACAAAACAAATCATATTTTTGTTACCAGGCAAATTTCCACCACCATCTAACTTTTAAAAAGATAAATACAAATTTTAAAGGAAAAACTAAAAGCATGTTCTCGTCCATCAACGCACACTTTGGTTTGTTTATAATAAATTAGAACATATATTATATAACACATAATTGGTGTCCGTACGATATCTATTCGGGGATTGGCAAATGAGATGTAAGAAAGTGGAAATGGGAAGGTGGTGGGAGGTATATCCACCATGAAGAAGATTTTTTTAATATATATATATATATATAGTCTCTTTAACCCGGTCGTACCAGAAGGATTTCTTTAGTGCCAGGTTGTCTTTCTTTATACCTAACAAAACTTGCTTGCTTGATTGGTTAGCTTGTCAAATATTATTGTTAGTTCTAATTTCCTCCACTTAGAGACTCTAATGTAACGGGCTAACTATCAAGTATTTGATTAATAGAAAAATTCACCCCTCGACTTTGATCTTTGACTCAATATACCCTTCCAGCTATGAATTTCTTCAAAATTTGGTATTCTCATCCCCCAATAGAAAATTTCATGTTTACCTTTCAGATTAATTTCATAAATGCTCCCTTAATTACGTACCTAGTGTCACGACTTGCCGCCGGCCATTTGTTATGTTAGGCCGGCACTGGATCGTGATGAGAAAACATAACATACATACATATCATACCATATTTGTGGATCCCTTTTTTACATACAAACACACACACACACACACACACACACACACACACACATATATATAATATAGTCATAATAATGCAGAATATTTAAACTTTTAAAAGCTTACAAATCCTTAATCAAAACACTGAAATTCTAAAACTTAAAAAGAGAAAGGTGCTTGAAAGGGGTTCTTTAATTAAAAATATAATTTTGTGGAACTCGTATTGAAGCCATAAGGTCAATTCTCAAAAACTAATATCAAAATTTGGCCACTGCAAGTCTTATCCCATATGCTCATTCACTTCAATTCGCTTCCCTGATCACTGAGCTTCTATCTTAATATTTTTCTTTCCCTTTTCCTACAACACAAGGAATCCTAGTGAACTAGAAAGCTCAGTAAGCGAGTAGACTAAATACTCTAAATATGGATGTAATGCAACATAATAATTCCTCAACAGAAAAGATACGTGAACATAAATGTAGACATAATAATTCGAGTACCTAATTTAATTCCTCATAATTTTTCTTAACATACATAGTACTACAATTCATAATTTTACCAACTGACAAGTAATCATAATATAACATACTTCGTATCCTAATATATGTTTCAAAGAAGAGTGTATTATACTCCAATACTCATAAAGTCGTCATATTAAATATTCATGTTATCCATTGGCTATTACTTTGACTTTCATAAGTCATATTCAAACATATGAGAATCATAGTCTTAATGTACCATAATCATAATTATATGACATCATAAATCATAATCTAACATACTATAATCATAATCATAAATCTTATTCTTAACATACCATGGTCATAATCATACCATATCATAAATCTTAATCAACTTCTTACCGTAAACCGAAGCTTTCTAAAGCAGTTATGTACTCCCTTAAGCACAATCGTGCATATGATTTAAACAAGAATAACACGTTGATAGTAACTAAAATCTAAAACACATAACTACCCCTAATAATCTAGCGTACCATATTTGCCTTCTTATTAGGGGTTCACAACAATCAAGAAGATATTAGAAAACAACATAATCACAATATTAATCACATGTTCCCATTTAACATGATCATAGTTAAATCTAACTAAGAAACATACAAACTTTAAATCAACATGGTCTTATCATGCTATAATCTTACCATGTCGTATCATACTCTCATATTCATAACATAACCTCATATCATATACTATCATGAACTAATCATTCTATAATAAATCGTGACATAATATTATTATGTCATAATAAGGTGCATAACTTATCACATACTCAATAAACTAGTATCCTATCGTGCACGTACTAATGGGCCCGTGGGATTGCCTTATGCTGGCTAATACTCAATCGTATGGTGGTTCCAATGAATCGTACACACAAACCTTATGTACCATTTAACAAATCAGACTCGACTTCTAGGAGTGTACCACTAACTACATGTGGCTTACCTATAACACTCGAGTTACAATCTATTGGCATCCACATAAGCGGTAACATGGGTGTTCACGGGGCTTTATCCATTCTTGCCCGGACAAGGCTCAGGGAATTTAGCATCGTGACTTAAACACAGATCCAACGACCACTAGGGTCGCCGGATTTAGAACCGAGGATCAAAGAGCATATAGTCCATCTAGCGGGCTTATTTAAATCATAACTATCATATTAGGTCTTCTAATGGACCGACCATGCTCACTACTATGAAAAACTAATCATATCTCACTATATGCCAATGTTCATAAGTGAATGTCATGCCAACAAAATCATGCCCTATCTTGTCATGCTACTTCATATATCAGACATGTTATTTAGATGCTTACATA